ATTATCTTCGCTATTTCATTTCTTAGTTACCCTTATTTTGTCAGTGTTTACTTTATTGCTTTGTTATCATTACTGCCTACATAATTTATAAATGCCCTCACATACCACAGATTTTCCATTCATTGTTAATTTTATTGAATTATTGAAGGAAGTTAGTCGACTATTCTACATCTCACGGGTGATAAATAGTCAGAACTCAGTAATTTGTAAGGTTTTTTATTGGTGGCACCAATAAAAAACCTTAAAAATGACTGCATTCTGACTATTTATCACCCATATTAATTTCATTATTCACTACCTATATACAAATATTTGTTATCAAATATTTTCACGTGTTATCTCATAGTCCATTATCTTAAAAATTTTAAAAATGCGCTACTTATGATAATATTTTATAAATATTTTCATACTTTGCTATTATATACAGTAATTATATATTTTAATTTATCTTACACACATAATTTTTATTGTTGGTATTTATTTATTAGTAGAGAGGATATATATATTTTTGATTTCTTGTTATTTTCTTGCTAATATGTTTTGTTTTGTTGCTATCTTACCTTTCATCAGCCCTGAAACTTGGGCAGAAACGTAGGCAAAGCTTTTTTACTGTAACTGCAATCCACAACCATCAGTGAATTATTTCTCCACCGTTATAATTTTATTACTTCATTACACAATTAATTAATGATTATTATTATAAACTAGAGAACTATTACTGGAATAGTGCATTTTTATTATTATAAATGGAATAGCTGTCACAGAATAAAATTTACTTTTCATTTCATTTTCTTATTAATACATTTCATATTTAAAATATATAATAGAAAATTGATGAGGAATAAATGAGTAAAATTATTTTGAATCTTATTTGAAAATAATTTAAAATTAAATAACAGACATTAAAATACTAGCTGTTATCCGTGCATTCGATGCTTTGAAAAAAATAGTATGGATGTACCTTGTACCACTATTAAGTGGATATCAGGATTTTCCAGATAGCTGTTCATATTTGCCAAATTGTACCACAATGGTGAAAAAGATATTCCACATTGAAGATTTATTTTACTCCTGGGAACTAACAAATATATAAATAAATAGACATAAATTAAAAAATATTTTTTATAAATATTTATCAAATATATAACATAGTTTTTCTCAGTACTTACTTGTAGAAATACGATTGATTATAGGATCCATTACTAGTGAAACATCCGTGAACACTATTTAGTGAAAACATGTCTTTATATCTTTAGCGAAACATGAAAAATTTTATTTAATCAAGAAAAGAAGTTTAACATCTGTAAAAAGAAAAAAAAAGGTATTGACACATATATTCATAGCAAATTGATATATAAAAGATCATAAAAGCTCCTCATTACAGCCTTAAAAATACAATGAAGATTTATTTGCCCAGCAGAGGAGGCTGTATGGTTTTATACATGAGTCAGCCTGATAAATGTCAAAGACCAAAATCAATAACGACATAAAGAAAATATTTTCAAAGGAAAGCATCTTGTGATTCTTCATGAAAGTTTTATCTATCATCTCATCTTAGGCTTTGATTTAAGAATAATAAGATATTTAATTTTACAACTCTGAAATATTTCAGACTTAGATAGCAAAGATGAGTTCTTTTATTTTGATAATCATTGCTTTTATAAAATATTCTTTTATTTTTATTAAAGTCACCAAAATATAAGAAGTGATCTACTGATTTAAAAATTTCAAGCATAAGTATAATTGTTCATTCTGTATATAATGCATTTTGGAATTCATGTAGATTTCATGAAAACTAGATCACTTGAGAATAAAAAAAAAAAATAATAAAACAGAAAAAAATATCTGTCCAAAGGCTAATACTAAGGCATTAATCAAAATCAATTAATATGTACATTAATCAAATCTTTCAAGATAATTTCACTACCTACCTAAAAGAAATTTCTTGTATTTACCACACAATCTTATCGGACAGTCATGAAAAAAGATACAATGCAAATTAAATGAGTGGGAACAAACTGGATGAAAAGGGCCAGGAACAAAGAATGCACGCTCAAAATTGTTGAAGAAATAATAAAAATTGTTTTATCTGAATTTTGAAAATAAGATATAATTATATTTTCTCTGTTTTATGTTATATGTTTTAATAAATGCTTCATTTTATATAGAATTGTATTGTTTCACTGGAATTTTCCATATTTTCACTTAAATAATCATATATATTTTTAGAGATGAACTCCAATATTATTATTATTTATTTAATTTTGTATTTTTTATTATCTTTCCATATATATATTTCACTATCACTTAAATTAAAAATGACTAGTCATAGTTACTACTATAATTGCGAATTAGTTCCAATTCTCATTCCTTCAGCCCCTCTCTCTATGTTATAACACTGGCTATTTATGTTTTCAAAACAAATGCTTTCATCAAACTTCCGGCCTAGCGATGGGTAATTGTTTTGCACCACACCTCTGGAACATTGTCATCAATAGCCTCACCGACTCAATATTATTCTAATTTCCTAATGATATTTTATTCATTAAAAAATATGTAGATGATCCTTAATTAATTCTCAACCTCCAGGCTATTCCATTCATTTCTGCATTCAATACCACGCTCCACTCCGTTTCACCATTGAAATAGAATCCAACAATTCCCTCTCTTTTCTCGATCTCCTCATTACCAGAAATAATGATTGCACATTATCTACCAATTGGTACACCAAACCCACTTACTCCGGCCATCTCCTAAATTATTTTTACCTAATTTTTTTCTTTTTAGTTCAAAAACGAAAAGTTGTACAAAACTGAAATTGAGTATTTAAGATTTTTATATGCCTGAGATGTCACAGCAACATTTTCGTCAAAATCGGCTAATCGGAAGTGGCACTTTATATTATTGTTTTTACACATTTTAAAGATTTTCTCAAAAACAGCTGTAACGATTTTGATTAAACTCAGTGTATCAATGTATAGTTAAGTAATCTTTAATATCATTTAGATCTTATTCCTATTGATGTCGCTTTACAGGTATATGTATATGTATAAGAAATCGTTGGGTAGCGGGGAATTTTAGAGAAAATAATATCTGATAAATAAAGTTGTAAAAGTTAATGGAGAGTGACGAAAAATATGTAAATCGCATGTTTCTAAGGAAATTAAATGAAATTTTCTTACTAAATGTAAACTTTTAACATTTTTTTTGAAGTTTGAAAAAAGTATTTAAAATCCACCGAATCAAGGTAATGACGTTGTTTAAAAACTATTTGATGGATATGTTTATAATCTTAAATACATTTACTAGAGTTTAATAACTCTAGATCCGATATTATATGTAAATAATTAGGTATCTATCATCGGTTTATTCCGAAAGTCCATCATGTAACATTTTAGAAAATTAAATTAATGAATAATTAGAAGAATTTTCCCTTTTGTGAAATCACAACATTATTCACATACAATTAGTGAGACAACTTTTCGACTATCGGTGGTAGGCAATGGAAATCTCGGAACTCCATTTTAATAAACTTTATAACAGAAAAATAAGAATTTAATAACTGATAGTAGTACAATCCACAGGTGGATCTACGGGGGGATTTCGGGCGGAAGCTCCCCCCAAAATGGTAAAATATTACCATGTTTTACAGAAAAAAATATTAAAAACTATCTCTTAAAGTATTCTTGTTCGTGTTATTATGTTTAATAGAACTTCAAGAACCACTTTAACACCATTTCATATAAGTAATTAATTTCTTTATTTTTTTTTCCAAATTAATTATCGTTATATGTATATGAAAAAAAAATCTTTCGGGGTGAAGCCCCCCTAAAATTAAATCCTGGATTCGCTAGTGGAACAATCCATAATCATTAGTATTAGTTAAATATACAGATGTACTTTCAAATCTCACTAGGCATGTATAGCTGGGCAATTGGAGTTATTTGATTTACAAAAACATATAGAATTACGAGGTTTTTATTGCTTACTGTTGATATAATAAATATAGTTTGTGTTATTTTAATGGTATTAATGAGTTCTTTGCTCTAATTCTTAAACTTTAGCTCAGCTAAAAGTTAGCTTCAAAAATTTTATAGTAGCCCAACATTACCAAGAAATAATTTCTATTCAAAGTAAGTGAAAGTTGTGTGATATGCACACCAGATTTTTCTCTTTTGAATACATTATATGATTCTGAACAAACTGCCATCTATAAGTTTATCAAAAAATGATGAGTAATTTTAGAGAACAAGTGAACTATCAAATTCAGGGAAAAGAAAAAACAAATATTTTTTCATCACGGTGAAGCTCGAATCACTAGCGATTATTTGTATGATCGGTAGTGATTGTTATTAATGCCACAGATAATTATCTGTGGCATTCATTTCAATCGATGAAAGCAATTTTTTTCTTAAATATTTGAAATACTTTTACTTTAAAATATTTAAATTTGTAGTTCTTATACAGTCACATTAGATTTGATTTGTTTCATGTTTTCCATTGTTCCCTGATTTGATAGTTTTTCCTAATTGAAACCCCAAAAAATATGTGTCCCCTCAAAAATAAATAAAAACCGAACAATGAGCCTCTTCAATAATTTTGATGACACATCCTCCACCATGCCACTCCCTTCTTGACACCTCTGGGAACAAAACAATTTTGGGTTTTTATTTATTTTCACAGCCGATTTTAGTATGTTTACCAATGCGATTCTTTGTGATTCCGATGATTATTTCTTGATCGATGATTTAGTGGCGGACTAACGTGAGTGCAAAACACGCGTTGCCCGGCAACCAACCACATGATAAACTGAAGTTTACAAGATATAAAATGATTACGAGTTTGCGTCTCGGAGCAAGGGATTTTTAACTCTGGCATTAATCCCTCGCCCTTTTCCCTGGTCCGAGAAAATTCCTAAAAAGGGCAAAGAATGGATGGACGAAAAAAAAAAAAAAAAATCGACTATTAGACAGTCCATAACCTCAGGAAAAATTTCACATGTTTTTATTTTTTATATCAAATATCCAAATTTTTATAGTAGATATATTAATAAATAATATGCGAAAAAAAATTATCTACTATTTAAAATTAATTTGATGATATGGTTGGATGACACATAGTCTATTATTGATTTAAAACAAAAATTGAGTGATGGCATATCATGGAAACCATCACCGATTTTGTTGATGTTATATTTATCAATAACTATTCAGTAAGGTATACTTGTATTTATCAAAGATTTGTTTTAATCGTAAGTTTTTAGGTGAATGTGTGTGTAATTAAGATTATTAACATAATGTCTGATGAAGCAATTACTGAAGATGCGCCGAGTTATGTTGGTATTGCAAATTTACCTAACCAAGTTCTTCGAAAATCTGTTAAAAAAGGATTCGAATTTACTTTAATGGTTGTTGGAGAGTCAGGACTAGGTAAATCCACCCTTATAAATAGTCTTTTCCTGACTAATCATTACCCAGACAGGAAGATCCCAGACGTTGTTGACAAGGTTCACAAAACTGTTGGTCTAGAATCCTCAACAGTTGAAATAGATGAGAAAGGAGTAAAACTTCGTTTGACTGTAGTTGATACTCCAGGATATGGAGAGGCTATTGACAATAGTGATAGTTTCAAACCCATCATTCAATATATTGATGACAAGTTTAAGAAGTTTTTGATGGATGAGAATGGATTGAACAGAAAGAACATTATAGATAATAGAGTTCATTGTTGTTTTTATTTCATATCACCTTTTGGACATGGATTAAAGCCGCTTGATGTTGAATTTATGAAGCAGTTACATAATAAAGTTAACGTTGTACCTATTATAGCCAAAGCTGACTGTCTTACAAAAAAAGAAATGATCAGATTAAAAGAACGAGTAATGGAAGAAATAGAGAGTAATGAAATTAAAATTTATAATATGCCAGATTGTGATAGTGATGAAGATGAAGAATACAAAGAAGATTCGAGAGGATTAAAAGAAGCTGCCCCATTTGCGGTGTGTGGTGCGAACACTTTGCTTGAAGCTCAGGGACGGAAAGTTAGGGGACGAGTGTATCCTTGGGGTGTTATAGACATTGAAAATCCTAAACATTGTGATTTCATCAAGTTGAGAAGCATGCTTATGACACACATGCAAGATCTTCAGGACACCACACATTATGTTCATTATGAAAATTACCGCTCTGAACGGTTAGCAAAAGGTTTACCTCCTCTACCACCACCTAAAAGGTTATTTGCTTCTTTTGATGATATGATATCTCAAAATAAAATTCTGCTAGAAAAGGAAGCAGAAATAAGAAAGATGCAAGAAACGCTGGCTAAAATGCAAGCAAAAATGGAACAGCCACCTCCTTAATTTTTTTTATATTTATATGATCGTATTTGAACTGTTAATATGATGTTAATTTTTCATTTCCTTGTGCTTAATTTATAATTTAAACCACTTATTCTTTTTATAGTTTATTCATTTTATATATTACCTTATGGATTAAGTGAAAGTTATGTTTCTATATTGAAAGTATATATTTTGTACCACTTGATGGCAACATTTAACTTTTAACACATAAATATTAATTGTAAAATATACTTTTACATCTATATTTCTATTTTTAATTTTTAAATAAATCTATGTAAATTTAGACTTTCATTACCTACCATAAAATGAGAAAAATTTAATTCTAGGTTACTTTACTCCAAAATTATAACATGGGTTAATTCGCATTGGGAGGTTTGAAGCTCAGTTGTAAAAAGCAAATGTCAATGTAACATTTAAATTCTTCTTTTTGCTGGGAAATTCTTTATTTTTGGTAATGAAAACTTCCAGGTATAAAAACAATTGGTTTATTTATTGATTTATATGTCAAGTTAACGTTTCGGGAAAATTATTCCCATCTTCAAAACTTAAATTCCATATTTTTAGAGTGCTGCCAGTGAGTAGTTTCTCAACAAGTGATTTCATGTTATTATTTTCTGTTATAAAATTTATTAAATGTATTTTATTTATGAATACAGTTGTAAATATCAGAAATAAAAAAATTCTATATTTCATAGAAATTTATGGCGAGAGAAGAGTTAATTAAAAAAGAATGCATGTTGCAATACATGTTGTGCTGTTGCATAAAATGTTACAATTACCTAAATTATGATGTGCCCCTTTGTCATTATTTGAAATTTATGTGTTATAAATATAATAAAAATATACTATCTGGAGCATTAACATCCCTAGGACTAATAATTGGGTGCCTGCTATGGGGGATACTATTAACCTTTGGGTCTAATTATTTACTCTTTTATTATTGCTATACAATGACTTTTACATAGTTGCATTCTTCAAATTGACATGCAAATCAACAAATAAACCAATTGTTTGTATACCTGTAAGTTTTCATTGTCAAAAATAAATATTTCAACTGTGAAATAGTTAGGAAAAGATATAATCAACAAGATATAAGATTTTCTGAAAACAAATTTTTATTGGAGTTTTAATTTAATAAATAAGATGATAATGCTGTAATAGATGATACATACACCAATATTTAATTAATACATTTATTTTACAACCAATTACATATGCTACTTAGTTGTTGATTATTGAAAATCAGCTGTTATTGTTACATATGATTTAATTTACAATGTAATATTAGTCAATTTACTTCTGAAGAATTATTTTTTTAGAAAATTTATTAATAAATCTAGACATTGTAATTTTATTACATTTTGGCAATTTTCTTTTTCAACTGTTTTGTTAATAAAAATTATCATATTTAAAAAAAAAAAGAAAAACAAATGTCTAAATTAATTAATCGAACCAAATGGCTATATAAATCTTTTCTATATTTCTATTTTTTAGCATTACTTAAATTTCATGTTAAGAATTTTCCTTTCTTCCATAGCAGTTGGTTTTTTTAGTTTTTTTGGGAAGGGAAGGGAGGAGGAGGATAGAAGCGATATTTCAGAATGATTTTTTAGTTCGTGTTCTATTATTTTATTTTAACCAAAATAACAGAGTTTTAAAGACTAATTTGTCATTTCTTGTTAAAATGACACGTTACTTTATTTATATTAGTCTCTAATAATTAGGAATATAAACACAGACTTGATGAAGAGTGAATTAGGAATTCATGAAAATTGGCATTTTTATGTATAAATCCTAATTAAACCGACAGATTTTAAAGATTACATATCCATTAGACAAAACACAACAAGCATAGTCACAGACTGTAGGGGGATAGGGAAGGGGGAGACATCGCCTCCTCCCTCACAAAAAAAAAAAAAAAAAAAAAAAAAAAATAGAGAGGGTGAAAATAAAGTTTCAGTCAATGCTTAATAAATAGTGTTCAATAGACTGTTGGATTATAAAAGATAAGGTGACCTAGTTAAATAGGTGACGGAAAAGCTAAAAAAACATAAATCATTATTGTAATATCGAGAGGTGATAAATGGGGAAGAAAATCTTTAAATTGATGATTTCTAAGGGAAAATAGAAAAAACACAGAAAATTGAACTGAAAAATAAGTTCTAAGCAGTGGGAAAGAATGAAGAACTGGAAGCAAATGATAAAACAAATGTCTAAAATGGTATTGAAGGCCTATTAAGAAGAAAATAATTATAAATTGATAAGTAGTTTAGAGTACTATAATGATATGTGATATAATTACTGGTATGTTTTTATTTGTATATATATAATCGACAAACTTTTTGTCTTCCTGAGCCAGAGGACAGGGCGGAGATTAACATCAGAGTTAAAAGCTTAAATTATTTCATATCTTGTAAACTTCGGTTTATCATACCCGCTTGGCCACTTCATAGTATGTGGCATTGACCGCTTTTTATCAAATTATTAACATCCGCCAGAAACTTAAATAGCATCATCTCATAATAACCTACAAATATTTTATTTGCAAAAATTCTAGGAATTGGAGTTTTCAATCTGGAGTTCGACAAACTTTGTCTATTTAATTAGGTAATAAAAACTCATGAATTGGCTTTCTACATGAATCATAAGATATTATCAAAATCGAAAAAAAGGTGCCCTACAAAAATATTGTGCCATTTGGCATAATCTTTACCCCCATAATATCAAAATAATACATGAGCCAAAGGGTTCAATATTTTTTTAGGACATCTTTTTTTTTTTTCGATTTTGTTATCTTATTTGCTTACAATTTAACTTGAAAGGAAATGAGTATTCATGGATTTTTAGTGACTAATTAAATAGACAAAGTTTGCCGATTGAAAACGTAGATCTCCAGATTGAAAACATCCTAATTCCCAGAAATTTCACAATTAAATATTTGTAGGTTACGATGAGAAGATGCTATTTGCAAACTTTCACGTGAATGTTAATAATTTGTAAAAAGGGCTCTGTACCGCGAACTATCACTCCTAACGAACTTTTAACTGTTTTATTATTTTTTATATATTTTTAGTTACATCTTACTTAAATCGGATCCCTTTGAACCGTGGATCCTTTGAAACTTTGTCTGCCCACCGCCTGACCATAGATATGGCCTCGAGTTGAGAACCTCTGGACTTGAACATTTATGTTTGTTTAGAAAAGAAAGGGGAAACTATAATAGAATAGCAATCAATAGGAATTATGAAACCTTTCAAAGCGGTTAAGCCTGTAATCATGGCCTACCTTCAAAACGATCAGAAACCTCAAAAATGTATTAGAGCAGTAATATAGTGTATAAAGAGGCCTTTATTCAATATTTCATATCTCTATGGCTTCTATGAGCTTTGCTGTTTAATCTTAAACTATTTCTACATTTCCAAGCTTTCATTTTAACAGGTTTTATCACAAGAGATGTTAGACTTTGAGGTTACATATAAATTATTTTTTTCCAACAGATTAATTAGCTATACAGAAAAAACCTATTCTGCGAACCGATTTAAAAACAAAACAAAAAACGATGCATTTTTTTTAAATTCATCAGGACGCATTAAAAGAAAAAGCATCAACGTAATTTTTTTTGTTATCAATTTTATGAAATTGGGGTAAAATATTACATCGGGTTGAATATATTGGATATACTGCTAAAATACAGTATGTCTTCGTTTGCATGATCATAGTGGATAGTTATTCTTAAGTCACGCTTCGGACTTTACTAATAAGCTACGATCCATAGGAACAAAGCAATTAACATAAACATCTGTTTATCTGGGAAAATGTACGAATTATATTTTCTTCCTTTTATTATTGAGCTTAGTAAATGTAATCACTGTTTTTTAAAAGAAAAATTTGCCTACTTTATCCTGGTGTACTTGGAATTTAATAATTTTGAACATTTTTTGAGAAATTTCTTCTTATTGTGTTAGAAAACACAAAATTGGGCTTTACTCCTTTTTCCGTTCGGAATCGGCCCATGCATCAAATGAACTTTTTTGTTGGAAATTTTGTCTAAAATCACTTTCCATTTTGGTCATTAAAAAATGAGAATTTATAATTTGATTTTTATTTTAGACCCTGATGAACTGTTAAAACTGTAATGTGGACCTAAACATCGACATTTAATAAATATTTCCAACTAATTTTCGTACTATTCTTGCCCGTAGCTCGGACTATCTCATTTTGGTTATTAAGAAATGAGAATTTATAATTTGATTTTTATTTTAGACCCTGATGAACTGTTAAAACTGTAATGTGGACCTAAACATCGACATTTAATAAATATTTCCAACTAATTTTCGTACTATTCTTGACCGCAGCTCGGACTATCTTAATTTTAAAAATAAACATTTCATCAACGAAAAACATGGGCCATTTCTAACCTCCTTTCGGTCTGTTGAGCACCTCATTCCTGTTGTAGCTTTAGTACATTTAAGGCTCATGTGATGTTTTATCTTAGACTCTATTTTATCTGCTACATACGATCAGCCATGCGAATTTCCTATTCAATTTCGATGACACCCCTTTTTCGATTCGGATCATTTTTTATCCGATGAAGAGTTGTGACACTCGACCTATTTTCCCATGTCGGAAGCCGTTGAAAGGAGGCGATGAAATGTTGCGTACGCCACTGGTAGATAGATTAGATTTACGATGATGTTTTCTGGAGTAGTGGAGGAGAATGGTTAGGACAAAAGACACGTCCTCCCCCTTATCCGCGGTGCGGGTGAGCGGATGTCAAGTGGACCGGGAGGCATATGCGCTTCAATAATAGACTGTGGCTCGCTCTATTAGCCCTCTCGCCATGCAATTATTTATTTATCGTCACGGCCACAGCTGTGCGTCCTCCCTCCCCCACAAGCGAAAATTGTCACCACAAACCCCTCGTAGTCATTACTAACACTTAGAGTCACCCCTTCATCGGCCGCTGGTCTTTCATCCGACTCTCAACGATCCTATCTGCCGATGACAGTCTGTCAGGGTCCGTGGTTAAATAGCGGAGTCAGATAGAAATGTTTTTGAAGGGTTCGAGGGATGGGGATGAGAGATCTCAACGGTGCGATGAAGTCACTTGATGTTTTGGATCTATTCTTGGCGGAACAAACCAAGAAAATTAAGAGAGATTTATTTAATACTAGTTAACATTTGCGAATAATTCGCATATGATATTTCTTAGTGAACAAATGAAAAAATTGTTTTATTT